TACATATCTACATTGTTCCTCTCGCGTCGAGTGAGAGAAGACGACATGCATCTGGTGTTGTCCCATTCGCACTATCTCCTTTGCGGAGGTTGTCAGTGAATATTCCTCTTTTCCGTATGATTGAGTTTTAGCAGCATAGTAACTTGGTCTACCCCTCATTCTATGCTAGTCATAACTAATTCATTCTCTTTCCAGACACTGCAGCTAAATGAGCTACTCGTGAGATCTTTACACTAGCTTTTAGCGTTTAGTGCTATTATGATGATTCCAACGGGATACCCTGTTCTGCGATTTTCTTCATACCTAAAGGTGATATGAAGATACTCACTAAATAGTAAACAAGATGTTTGTTTGCAACTAATGAAGTCATGAGGGCAAATTATGATGAATTGCCTAGCAACTACTGCACTATCTGAACATCTGCGATGTTCAGTTCATCGTTAGTGCGTGTTAGTCCATGGCCAATCAACTATAACAACGTGTGCAAGCATAAGACCTCTCGAACATTTCGTCTATGTCTTAGAATTTAACAGGTAGGATAAGACAATGGGAAAGAGTATAAGACCACCGTTACACTCTGTTTGCTTCTGTGTAGGACATCCAAGGAAGCATCTTCATTACTTCAAACCTAATCCGCTAAGGTATTTACTCATTAAGAATCATGGGGCGTCCAAGCATACGGGCTGCTTCTATGAAGGAATCGAAACCCCGCCCGAAGTGTAAGGGCCCACTCTGATTCCTGAGTCCACGATGATAGAATTATCGAAATGGAATTTACACGTCACCAAGAACTTGGGGGCGAAGATGTGATCATAAGTCATACACTCTCTTCGACCTTAGAATCAAGTTTGATTTCACTACCATGTCATTGGGGTGGAACCGCGCATTTTTTCCTGCGAAAGATGGCAACAACAATAAAAAGGAGAACTTCTCATTGTCGATCCTGCAGCGGTCAGCGACACTGCAGACACTCTCAGAAGATTCTTGAGAACAAATACGAACAAATAGACTTAAGCAGATGTGCCAGAGTCGAAACCCGTTAAATAAGGAAGAGCAAGACTGCCTCATCCTTTTCAACAAGTGCTTCGACACCAGTCGAGGATACTTCGGAGAGTTGCGAATGGACAAGATACGAAGTAGAACTTCGTCCGACGCTAAATCCATTATACTAGGGCTCACCCTACTCCACGGGTCCATTACCAACTCTCTTAAAAGGAGGTTGAACGTCTCTGCGGAGCAGGAGTACTCAAGAAGGTAATCGTTCCGATGGGCGGCACCAACTTTTTCATTCCCAAGAAAGAGATCTGTACGATTCATCTCTGATTTCCAGGAAACGAATAAAAGGATCAAGCGGAAGCCTTATATCTAACCCAAAAATACAGGCATGCTCTGAACCCAGATGGATTCAAGTGCGCTACTAGTCTAGACCTGAACACGGGACACTACCAAATCGAGCTGTCACATCACTCTAAGCAACACTATGCCATTACACTCCCGAAGGGAAAGCACGAGTTACCAGAGGTTGCCAATGGGCCTATGTAATGGTCCCGACGTCTTCCAAAAGAAGATGAAAAACGCCTGCATGACTTAAGACATGTCCGTGCATACATTGATTAGACAACTCATCCTAACGGACGTCGATTCGCAGATCGCTTTGAATAGTAGGATGACCTTTCCAAAAAGACTTCAAGAAGTCGGGATTGAAATCAACACTACCAAGGTCTTCCTCGATAAGAAGAACTGGAGTATCTAGACAATTGGACTTCTCGAGAAGGAAGCCAACCCTTAACCAAAAACGACAATAGATGCATCCAGCTATCGCTCTTCCCACCAAACAGGAAGGAAACTTCGTGGATTCAATGGACCAATGAACTACCAAGGCTGGGCTCGCTCCAAGACAGCAGAGGAGTAACCATCAGTTCTGAAACAGACCGTGGTTACCAGTATCCATGAACGTCGTCATGGACAGAGACGTGAGTCCCGCGTCAGAGGTCGAGAAGATCTCCGGGATGAACATGGACTTCGTCGCAAGTTCCAGCGCGTCAATCGTGAAAAGACTCACCACATCGTTTCAAAGCAAACCGGAAATCATTAAGGACGTCGCCAACGACTTACAAAAACACCGATAAGGAGAACACGGCACGTGTCCCTCATCAACCATGTCAACGATACTATAATGATTCATCAGTATCAGGACCGTTCGTACGGTCAGCACGCACAAAGGTCCTACCCACAGACCGAGTCAATAACAATGCACTGTTACGGCTCGACATACTACCGCAGTGCGGCACAGTCTACAGACTTTGAACTAAGGTATTTACACCCATACAAGGCCTGATCCTTGTAGGATCCCATCGTGCGACGCACATGTCTACATCCAATCTCCGAGAGTGCCCCGCACTTTAATTCATATTCTCCTTGTCCGACTGCATGTCGTGCCTTCCGTGACCTTGTCAGGGGGCGAATGCAATACACGGCTCTTAGCCTTATTCGCGACTCGATCTAGATAGGTTTTGAGTTCGACTCATGACTGAGTCTCTCGTGAATAGTTATTGAGACAGGGGTCTCAATGACCGCTCAGTCATACTAGGTTAGATGATGTAACATCGTCTAGATATTAGCACAGCGTGGAGTACTTCACGCCACTAGATAAATGCTAGACGAATCTTCCACGCGTTCGCTTTTGGATCGTGGGTGAGTAGGATTGTACCGCAACCTACTCTATCACACTTTACAGTCTCCGCGGGAGTTCAGATCTACCGATCCTTAGTTGTGGATCTTGCTCGTCTGATTAGTTTTCACAGCTTTCTATTCTCTTTCATAACTTCTCTTATCAACTTCAAAACATCGAAAATTTTTACACTAGCTTTTAGCTATGCAGTTTGGTGGTGATTTCTGTGTTGATATCCATTTTCCGCAAGAACAGTGCTCAGCGCCTGATTGATACTATTCTGTATCACTGTAATGGTGAGGTAATGGAGCGTAGCGTAGCAAGGCCGAGCTGAGTGCTGTTCATTACTGTTGCCATTAACGTTACTAGCTATTTACATTGGATTGACATTTTCGTTGTGCAGTATCTATAAGATCCAATGCGATGTACCGGTAACGGAGCGTAGCGAGCAAGCGAACTTGAGTGTGTTCGTACTGTTGCGCACTGTCCGCGATGGAAAACTATATGGTTAGCCGGCTATAATGGCTGGATTAATATCCAGTTGTAACTGTTGGTTGAGAGTGTCCTAACCAGGTATTGCACCTCTTTCTTCCTCCGTACGTACGCGAAATCAATTTAACTGTTAAATTCGGCTTGCTTTCACTCCATTTCCACGAAATCTGCGGTACGGCGAACCATTGGATTTCCATTCTCATTCGCCGTACCGTAGCTTTCGTGGAAATGGTTTCGCGTAGGACCAATCAGAAGTTAGAGCCATGCCGAGCTGCCGAAAACGTCAGTCACCCAACGAATCCCCAACTCTAACCCAACCGAAAATCGAAAAGTGAGAGATCCGAGATCCGAGATGGGAGGAGGTGCTATAGTAAAAGTGAGAAGACAGTAACTCTACACCGTTGGTTGCTAGCACAGTCGTTGTCGTGTAGTGCTCGCCGTAAGGACTTCAATGATGATGAGGAATACAAAATCGTCTTTGACTATATATTCTACGGTGCCTTCTTACTGTGTCTACCGGGCGAATCCAGGAATCCTCTCCGTTTTTCGGCAATCGGTTCATTGGGATGGTAATGCCAGACACCGAACCTGTTTGTGACCTTTGCTAGACGAGTCGGGTAGTGCGCGTAGAAAGCTATAAGTCGTTTCGTTTGTATGTCGCGCCTGCTTGTAAATGAGCTGTCAAGCGTCGCGAGGGGTGGTTCCTATTCCCGAACTGTGCTCTATCTGTACGATTCGATATTGGCCTGTTGCGTGCTCCTACTGGATATTACAGATCATTGCGGTGGTATGATGTTCCGCGTGTAGGGCTGACTTGTTCTGATGAGTACTATGTGGAAGCTACTAATATTGCGGCTTGTGCAAGTGTCGCGTTGAAGATTCGATTCCCCGTACTCAACAGGAAATAAGTATGCATAGACTGTGTCTTTGCCGTGATATCCGACTGGTTGTCCCATTAGCATACGTTGTGTGTGGAGTGTTGTCAGAGGCTATCTTATGCGTATCAGGGTTACCAACCAAGAAGGAAACTGGCAACATCCGAAGCTTCTTCTCAGGTCACTATCAGTGCTATGTAGTAAACATCCAGGCCGTACCACCATTCTCGGTTCATATTCTTTGCCTACGCCGCTCCTGGCGTTTCTGACGACCGTAATGCTATGCGGCAATGTGCTTTACAAAATTTGGTGGAGTCGACTTCCAAACGGTGTTTGCGTAATTGGCGATGCTGGCATACCAACCTACGAGAACATGGTACCGGTGTACCAGGGTTCCGACAAACTGATCCCACTCTACGACAATTTCAACTTTTACGCCAGCCAGTGCCGCATAAGGGTGGAGATGGCCTTCGGCCTTATGCAGATGAAATGGGGTTTACTATCGCGTCCTGTTGGCTGTTCATTGAAGAACATGATATGGCTGGCGCAGGCTATAGGTCGCCTACACAACTTTTGTATTAATGAGCGACTCGAAACGGCGGGCCAAACGACAGAGCCTGCCACCAATGTGAACGGCACTGGCTACATTCCCAGCGTTCCGCATGATGTGAATGGTGATCCTGTACGACTTGACAATGTTTATTCGAGCTGTGAGGGGATGTCGTACCTACGGGAATTCATGGCCAACAGAGTCAAGCGCCTACAGCTGAAAAGACCGTCGCGCAACAAAAAACGTAGAAGGGAAGAAGAATCGTAACACAGTAATCACACCTATATATTATTCCGTTCCTATATATTAATATTCCGTTCCGACAATGAGGGAAGATTCGGCCGGAATGTTCAACTTCTTTTCGAGTCGACCAAGTCGAATTTCCATGACTTCGCAAGGAGCCTTGGAGGAGTCACCGCCTCTTTATTTCCTCCACAATTTTCAGGTATTGGTTGCCCACGGCCAAATAGCCGTCCCACTGATTCGTTTCCGCCGCATCCTCCGCATTCTCTTTCCTTTTGCCCATGGATTCTTTCAGGTCAGAACTGACGCTGGTGATCGATGCCATGACGTCTGCCGCAACTTGTTTGCCGCCTTTACCGGCAGCATCAGCGCTTCCTGTCATATCGACGGTGGAATCACTCTTCAAACTGGCTTCGAGAAACGTGGCAAATTTGCCTTCAATTGTGGGATGGAGTTTGCAGAGATAGGCACAATAGTACACCGCTATGGCAGGTACGGCTGCCATTCCCTTCCGAGGAGTACACCACCTCTTCACTACGCAATAAGTCCATATGTCATTGCTATGGTGGCCCGATATCTTCATTTGCGCAAGACAATTATCCTTGGACTTCATCAAGTCGCTCATCAGCCGCTGAACTGACCTGTTGTTCTGGTCACGGTAAATGTCATTCAAGTTGAAACCGAATTCGGCACTGTACGCAAGTAGATGTTCGTCTTCCCCCTCCTGGAGACCCAAGACGTCGTCAAACAACCTTTCCGCAACCGTCTCATTCGTCTCATTGATGTGCTCTGAAACGAGAAGCCAAAAGTCCTTGAACGGATTTCCGGTCACACCCTCCTTTGAAAGAGGCTCCCGTTCGAATTCCTTTCGATTATTGCTGTCGTTGAGTGAGACGAAGAAAGGGTAAATAGTAGGATGGAAGCAGATATTGAGGACTTTGACGAGAGTGTTGATCCTCTTGGCTAAGGGGTCCAACGCAAGGTTTGAAACTGTCGTGTCGTGGTACATGGTTCCCATCTCAATACTGCGGGCAATCTCCTTCCTAGCATCGTACATTGTCATGCCGCCTCCTCCCCTGACTTTACACTTCAGAGAGAGGTCACGGATCTGTACGCTATTGAATTTGGACAGATCAAAAGTCATTTCATTTGGTTCCCCTTTGTCGTAGATCAACGTCTTGGCCACACGGTATATCTCCTTATCTCTCGGATTCTCTTCTTCACCGCAGACAATTTGTTTTTTCAAGGGGTCGTACTTCTCGATCACAACTTTGATGCGCTGTGCCTGCTTAGCATCGGCCACCTTCTTAGCCTTTTTCTCGTCCTCTTTCTTCTTCTTTTGTTCGGCCTTTTCGCTTCCCTGATGATGACCTTTCGCTCGGCCGGGGATGCAGACCTAGAACGGACAGAAGGCGAAGGGGAGCTAGCAGCAAGATGCCGTGGCGGCCGCTTCCGTGACTCTTGCGCTTTGAGTTGTCCCATGTACATGTCTTGGGCAATCGGATCTTCGTAATAGGGCAGTGGTGGTAGCGGCACTGCGAGGGCTCGCTGTTGGTGGAGTTGCTGCATCTCATCTGGCGCTGTTGTTGTAGATCCCGCAAGCTAAGACGTGGACGCCCACCATCAAGGAAATTCGCTGCGGGAATTGAGGCTGCTGCTGCTGCGACTGCTAGACTGGAATGACTGGGGCTGCAGCCAATACTTCGGCTTTCCTCTTCTCTCTCTTCCTCTTGTGCCGCTCATCAGACTCCCGCATTCTCCGTTCTATATCAAGGCTAGAGCCATCGCTATCATCTAAGCCATGACTACGACAACGACAACGGGTGGGAGTGCGGTGAAATTCGATTCGGTAACGGTGATAGGAAGAACTCAAAAAAAGGGAAATTGTGGTGAAAGAGGAGCCACAAATGGATGCACATGGGATTGCCTGTGGATCCACATGCAAGAGGCTATCTACTACTGGTAGCTAGCTATCATCATCAACCCACGAGATTCTATCAAAGAACAATCATATGCGATTTTCACGAGTTTTCCTGACGTACGGTGATTGCTTTTGGCAGAATCTGGTGGGTTGGACCGATTCCGTTAGAGTTGGGGATTTATGGTTCTTTCGCGTACCGCGTATGTGGATAGGAATGAAATCTTGATACGTACAACTAAATAAATCGACGAAAATAAATGTGTTTCGCGAATGCACGGAGGACACACATGGAGTTTGGATAGGACCTCGCCTGAGGCAAAGGGTACAGGAGACGAGCGCTGAAAAAACCCGAATGATTGACAAATCTTAAATCGAAGTCGCATATCCAATTCGATTCAATCGAATCATGAATCGAATCTCAATCGGATCTTCCATCCCTTCCCTTCGATCCTCGCGAGAAAAATGAGTGCGCTGGCAGTGGTTGGCTGTTGTTGGCTGTGGCTCGTCAATGACACAGAAACACAGAAACCCAAGGCGATTGATTAGGCAGCTGTGGATGGCAAGTCTTAATAGGATTGTTGGATAGCATATTTGAGAGGCCGACCAGTTCAACATGAATGGTTTTCGTCGATCAGGGACCAGTGGGCGCCGTCGATTGTTGCCGAGAGATGGAGTAGTATTATTGCCACAAAGGCCCAAGGCGCCGTTGCCGATGAGAAGCCACTCTTCTACGGCAACAGTTGTCTTTCCAAGGAGAGTCCCTGCTGCATCGGTCGAAAGCAACCAACAACAACGGAGATTTTCTGCGTCCTTTCCTGCTGCGAATGCTGCTGATGCTCAGACGTTGCTGTCTGTCCCCGAAGCAAAGGCGAGGACTCAAGCCATGGAAGATCCAGAGTTCCACATTGCTGGAAGCTTATCGGATTTTGGTTGGCAGGAAATGGCTCACTTGATCAAGTCTTGGTCACAGCACAAGACCGAAGAGAGTGTGGGCTTGTCGTTTGCTCTGCTGGAACGGCTTCTCGTGGAACAAGAAGTGCTGATGCAAAATCCAAGTGTGCTAGCTGCCACTAATCCTGGCGAGAACCAGCCAGTAGCACAACCACTGATGATGAGTGATGAAGAACGACGAGAAAAACAAATGCTGTCACGAGAGTTGCTGAATACAGGGCTACTCAATGAGGTCGTGAACAATTGGAGAAATGCCTGGAAAACACAAAACACGAAAATATCACCCAGGCGCATTCTTCCACAACTAGAAGGGTACATCGACCGATCCCCATCACTTCACCCCGACACCAAAACCTACAACATGGTCATGGACGCCGTCACGAAACGATTCAGCAAAAAGACGGCCGAGCAGTTGGCAGGAGAAATCTTCCACCGAATGACCAACACTACCCCACATTCCTTGTCGGATCCATCCTTTCAATGGACGCCGACTCCAACCATCAATGGAAAACTACGATGCCTAAACGACATTTCTCCCGATGGCTACACCTATTCCACAATCATCAAAGTCTACACGTACTCGCAAAATCCAAAAGCAGCCGAAGAAATCTTGAGTCGCCTGCACAAGGATTACATTGATGGGAAATCGACATTACAACCCAACGCGCGCATGTTTACAGCCTGTATCAATGCATGGGCTCATTCCCAGGCGCCGGATGCTCCCGAAAAAGCCGAGTCTCTTGTACGGGTGATGCAACTATTGGACGAGGAACAAGAATTAGACGATATCAAACCGACCGTGTTCACCTTGAATGCCTTGCTCAACTGCTGGGCAAAGTGTGGACGCCCTGACGTAGGAGAATACGCCGAAAGGATACTGAGGGAAATGCCGACTGTCTATGGTGTGACACCCGATTTGGTGTCGTACAAGACAGTGTTGCACCTGGTGACCAACGTTGCACCCAATGTCGAAATTGCCGAGGCAGTCTTTCATCGAATGCAGTCATCATCATACCCGCGATACATTGATCACGAGACGTATCAGTTAATGTTGAGGGCACTACATGAAAATGCAAGCAAGATACATAACGTGGCAGAAAAAGTAGAATGGTATCTGAAACGAATGATAGAAGAAGGCATACAACCCAAGACAACCACAATTTATAACCATGTGCTAGGGGCATTGGCGCATTCCAAGTCGCCACAAGCTGGAGGACGTGCCTATAGAATATTCAAACACATGAGAGAACCTCCCGAGGGAAGAAACATCAAGCCGACACAACCCAACAAGTTGACGTATAAGTATGTGATGATGGCCCTTGCCAGTACCGGCCAAGCCAAGTTGGCGGAACAAGTCTTCTGGCGCATGTTTGGTGATTATCGAAGGGGAAACAAAAAGGCCAAACCAACTCGAACGACACTGAACTTGGTTGTGTCCGCCTGGGCTGCAACTACCAAGATATCAGACGAGGAACGAGTCAAGTCGATTCTGTCGCTTCTTCGTCGGGTGGTTAGTCTCAACGAAAACGCCGTCCAGCCCGACGTAACAACAGCAAACACGTTCCTGCACTGTCTTTCCAAACTGAGCTCGGACGAAGCCCGGTTTCAGGCCGAACGGTGTCTTGATGAGCTGGAGAAAGACTGGAAAGCATCCAAAGATGAGTCGGTTAAACCTGACATAATATCTTATTCCAGTGTTATGAAGGCTCATGCCAACGTGGGTGATATCAACAGGACAAGGGAAGTACTCCATCGATGTATAGAGGAGTACCGAAATGGGAATGAAACAGCAAAGCCAGATATTAGAGCCTTTAACCATGTGCTCCTGGCAATTGCTCGAGGTGCAAGGGGTAGGAACTTGGGTGCTGGCAAGCTGGCAGATGATGTCTTCCAGCAAATTCATGAGTACCACCAGGCGGGCATCATTGACGAATTACCCGACAAAACGAGCTACGACATCACAATGTCTTGTTGGGCGAACTCAGGAAGCAAACATGCGGGAGAGGAAGCGGAGAAGATTCTACACACCATGGAAGAAATGGCATCGAAAGGTCGCCCAAAACTGGAACCAGATACAGTCTCATACAGCACGGCCTTGATGGCACATGCAAAGAACGCTGATGTTAAAAAAGCAGAGGACCTTTTGAAGAAGATGCTTGTGGGTTACGGAGAAGGAAACGAGAAACTGAAACCAAACCTGCAAACCATAAATACGTTCCTGTCCGCAGTAGCACAGTCACGGGAACCCGATGCAGGAGAAAAGGCAGAATCGTATTTGCGGGAAATGCTGGAAGCTAATGACGTCTTGTCCGTCAAACCCGACGTGGTGACTTTCTCTATTGTCATCACAGCTTGGGCCAATTCAGGAGATCCCAGGGCAGCAGAGCGGGCAAAGTCAATCTACCGAGAAATCGAGCTTCTGTCGCTGAAACAGGAATGTGATCTCAAATTGGACAACGGGTTTTATCAATCTATGCTTCGGGCATTCGCAGTCACAGGTGATGTCGAGGCAGCGGAATCTCTTTTGGAAATGATTCGTCATACCGATGAGGCATCCATCAGGCCAGATCGGTACATGTTCCAAGCTGTGTTGCAGGCATACACCAGAAGCAACCAAGGCTTGGACCACGCCGACAATGCTGACGCTTTATTGCAGGAAATGAAAGGCCGGTCAGTCGAGAACGGAGCATTGTATCCTGATAGAGAATGCTACCATTGCGTCCTTGAATGTTGGGCGAATTCCAAGGATCTAAGCAAGGCTGCAGAACGATCGGAGGCTCTGCTGTTGGAGATGGCAAGGAACCTACGCGCCAACACGAAACCTACTCCATTGACTTACAGTCGGTACGTTGCTGTGGGCAACGGTCCACTCCACACAGCCAGCTTTGTGTCTCACTCTGTTATGGTTGCTCCTTGACTATCCTTGTGTTTGATTGCTACAGGGTGCTGAATACCATGGCCCGGGCGGGTGACACCGAACGCACAAAGGCTCTTCTGAGATGCATGTACCAAAAACCAGGGATGGAATCCACCTTGGGAGCAGCCCTTCCCATGTGAGATGGTCTATAGGTATAGGTACCTGTCTTCACAGATTTGGTTGTGGTTGGACCCTCTGAGGCCTAGGCGCGGGGTTGCTTGTGGGCTCTTTGTGAGCCGTCCAGCGCTGGTCGCTCTAGCCCGGTGGTGATAGATAGTCAGCACAATCTTTTTCCAGCCCTTCTAAGGGTATCTTGTCTTGTAAGGCTTTATCAGGAAAGGGATCAATCCGCCATTGCGCCATTATTGGCTTCCTCCTGTTTCACCGGGATAGACTAGATATCAGAAACGGAATAATCGAATAACCCCTTGCATAGAAACTCTATGCTGCGTCACGATCCAGAGTACAACAGCTAGCTAGCAGCAGCTACCATACCGTAGGTAAAAGGCAGCAGCCGTCGCGTAAATCCATTGTCTCCGCCGACCACCACGAGTTTTACCACGACCTCCAATCTCTGGTACTGGTAAGCTAATAAGTGCTCAGCATGGTTTTGATCGCTTGAGCTTCGGGATGGAGGTTGGAGGTTCAAGCAGCTGCCGAGCTCGAGCTACCTTCCTCTATCTTTCCTTCCTCAGACTTCTCATTGTTGTACTAACCATTGGTACGGAACGTTGCCCTTAAGTTGATTTTGCGAAGTTGATGTTGTGGCTATTGATATTGTTGAAGCATTTGTTAGTTAGGTATTTCCTCCCCTGACATTAAAAGATCTGCCAAGATTTATCCCTAACTACTTGAACTAAATGTGCGATTATCAATCAAAGAGTAAAGATCCATAAGCATGGCCATGCAATCATCATGCAATTGGTCCGCTGCAGAGACCATAATAATCGCTCTGGTTGGACTGAATCTTGTGAAGCAACGACCAGGCACGAACAGCCGCCAAGTTGCCTGACCACCATTCACCGTAACGTTACTACACCTCTCATTCACAGCACCACCATCTTGGCCATTTTAATAAGCAAGCGCAGACAGTCGCGTCGATCATTATCTATCTTATCCAGCTTTTGTTATCCATCTATCTATCTTTGACCTGAACTGCTACCGTATTCAACCCAAAGTGGTATCTTGTGTTGATCTACCTATCTAGCTACTAGAATAAAAGAGGAGGAGAGATTCGAATTGTGCTTGGATTCCACCATATACTCGGCACTCGGCATCTCCTTATCCCCATGGTTCTCATCGCCGAAGCAAACAGCAGCAGTGACCATTCGTAACCAACCAACCATTGACCAAACGCACAAGCATACGAGTACCTGGAGATCCAGCAAGACGACGAGTCAGTGACCAGCTCCAGGTTTGAAGATTATCAGTTTTAGAATTTTAATTATCAGCAACAACCAACAACATGGCAGCGATCGCTCTTCGACGCGGCGGTTCCTTTTCGTCCGCTTCTGGATCGAGCGATTATGGAACGGGCAGTCATGACGACGATCACAGTAACTTTGTGTATGGTGGTGGAGGCGGTATACCGACTGCAAGCCAGTTGTATGGAGGAGGCGGTGGCGGTATACCCTCGGCGAGCCAATTATACGGCGGAGGAGGCGGTATACCCACTGCAAGTCAGTTGTATGGAGGAGGAGGAGGCGGTGGTATTCCGTCGGCAAATCAATTATACGGAGGAGGCGGGGGTATACCGTCAGCAAATCAATTGTACGGTGGTAGCCAAAGCTTTGGTCCCACCTTGTCTTCCCTTCAGTTCGACCCCGACGTGAAACGTCGTCATTCTCTCATGGAAAATCAAAATTTGTCGCAGGCCAGTGGACTCGGAGACGACTTGTCCCTGGTGGGAGAATGCGACAACAATTCCATTCGCAGCAATCGCAGTGATCGACGTCCAGGACGCCGAGCTTCCCTCAGTGCTGCCATTGAATTAACGCGAACACCGCCCAAACGAACCGCCAGTTCCACGCAAAAACGAGGACGACGCAATTCACTTTTCGGAAACAACAATGGAACAAAAGAAAAGGACAAGGAAAAGGCGGATAAAGAATCTTCCGAAGCCATGATTGCCAAACTGTCCCAAAAGAAGGGATCTCGCAGAGCCAGTATGGCAGGATACCCCGCGGCCAGTGCCACGTCGGTCACTGAACCAGAGCCCACCCCGTCGTTTTTTCAGCCTCGCAGCAAAAAGGACAAACGCCCGGGGGTTCCGGATCGTCGCAAAACACGGTCCTTTGAGAAAAGCGACCGCAAATACACGTCGCAAAGTCGTCCGGGAGAAAAAATCAAACGTCCCGCCAAAGGAGGAAGTAGAAGGGCTAGCCTGGCCGCTCTTCCTCGCCGCATGAGTTTGAGCCGATCCAGTGGAGGAGGATCCAAATCCTCCAAGAAAGGATCCAATAGATCGCTGCTCTCCCATTCCAATTCATCCGATTCCTACGCAGATGTGAGCGACGACGACAGTTACTATGGAACGAGCGGTAGAGATAACAGCAGCGGTGGAGAGTCGGGACCTACCTTTGGTCGAACCAACACAGCTCCGGCTGCCGGCTACCGGCCGAAGAAAAAGGACCCTTCTAAAGTGGATTTAGGATACGGAGATGATCCCAAATGCGATCCCGACTTGCCGCCGCCACCGCCTCCGGTAAAACGAACTGGATCGAAAGAATCCGTCAAACGAGCATTTCGTCGTCGAGGCTCCAAAAAGGCCAGCGCCATCAAGGCCGAAGATTTGGGATACGGACATGGTCAATCGGCCGAAGAGTACGATCCTCAGTTGCCTCCCCCGCCTCCTCCACCACCGCCGAAAAAATCAGGATCTTCAGCGACCGTCAAAAACGCCTTTCGCAATCGAAGAGGGTCCACGGGAATGGCTGCCTCCTTCACTTCCACCACGGCAGCACAACGTTCCCTCAAAGAATCCCTCCAGTGGAAAGCCAGTCAGCACGGAAATAATTCACCCCGTCGAACATCGGCGGCCAGTAGTATCGCAAATAGTGTGGCCACGGACGTGGCTTCCAACGTCCGAGGACAGCAGCAACAACAACAACAACAACGACGACGTGGACCCTCCGATGTCCCTCCAGGAGGACGAAGAGCCCCCATGGATGTACCACCTCCTCGAAAGGGTCCTGCAGATGTACCGCCTCCTCGAAGGGGTCCTGCAGATGTACCTCCTGGTGGTCGACGAGTACCACAGGATGTAGCACCTGGTCCTGCTCGAAGGGGTCCCGCCGATGTGCCCCCATCACAGGAACGACGATACAGCTCAGTGGCGCCCTCCGATATGGATTCTTCGGCCTCCTCATTTTCCATGGACAGCGATTTTAATCCAACACCCATTCTATCAAATCGCAAGACCCGAGAACCACCTTCTTTGATGCAGGGAGGAAGTCAACATAGCCATGGTGGATTATCCACAATGGGACATGTAAGTGGAAACACCAGCACTGCGCTTGGGGCCATGATGATGGATGATGTTTCCGACGGAAGTCAAAGTTCTGCCGGTGGAGCCTTGTCCCTGGGCGGTGCAAGTTTGTCTCAGGAACGACGAGGCAGCAGTCGAGGAACGGCCACGGTGCAAAATAGGAATGCCGCCGCCCGCTATACGCATGGATCTTCGCAGGCCCAGTTGCATGGATCAACGGCATCTGGATTCAACCCTTACAGCTCTGTTATTGCCTCTTCGGGCGCAAGCGATGACGACGACGATGAAGAAGAGGTGGACGAAGAGGAGGAAGCGAAAATGAAACAAAAGGACGAAGAGGAAAAGCCAGTCGAGGCGGAAACAGCAACAAGCACAACGACAACCAGCAAGACTGTGAGCGACGATGGTGATGGTCCAACAAATGGGTCGACCACGGATACCGATCCGACATTCTTGACGACCACCAATACGGATGTCGGCGGCGCTGTTGCAGACTTCAAAATTCCGGAAGACAGCAAGAAACAGCACGACGGCGGTTCAGACGGCAGCATGACAAGTGAAGTTCCCAATGAAACGGACAATATGAGAGATGTAGACAATCAACTGGAGGAAATCGGAGCCACAGGCGACTGGTCAGAAATCGGAGCCACGGGAACTGCCACGGGCGACTGGTCAGGGTTAGTAACAGACGAAATGGTTAATCGCTCAAAAGCGCGAGTCGCCGAGAATAAGAGCTTGCTGGACCGTTACCCCGGGAGCGAGGTTGATTTTGACGGAGGGCTAGGATACGGCTATTCGCATATGGACAAGGTTGGAGTGATGAATGCTTATGATGATGAGAGCGAACGAAAATCTGAACTTGACAATGGCTATGGGTTGTCCGATTTGTACGACGAGGACTATTCGTCATTTGGCTGGAGAGATAATCGGCCTCGTGCCGCGGAATCTATGGAATTCATCAATATGGAGCAACTCATGTCCAAGGCGAAGAGTACCAAGGGTTTGCACTTGCCAACATTTACTCCTGCCCATGGTTGTACCAATGCATCCGACTTCATTGTCCGCTGCTTTGTGGCGCGGCTGAGAGCCGGAATGACCGTGACAAAACACAGCCGATCGAGATTTTGTAAGTCTCACGATCGAATTCTGCACATTTTGCCGACCGGCTATCACATCACATGGATCCCTGAAACGGAGGAAGAAGTCCTGGCAAAGAGCACTAAGAAGCCTCCCACCAAGCTGGATTTGACCAAATGCTTGGAAGTTCGACACGCTTGGAGCCGCGACCCCAAATCGTCTCGGTACACGGGGACCTCCACTTTGCGATCCAAGTGTAAGGAAGGAGCCGCGAACAGATCCTTCGCTTTGATATATGCTCACCGAACAGTGGATTTCACGGCCGCGACCGTCGATCAATGCAAGATCTTGATGGAAGGTTTCTCAGCCTTGTGCTTTCGACTACAAATGGCCCGATTGGAGCAACAGGAGAACGACGACGATACCACGCAACACACAGCAGCGTCAGGCGTCGGGCACGACGACGACTCCACCACTGCCAGCTTGACAGGAACCAACATGTCGGCACCGTGGGGTCTTTGAGACCACTGTCGGGCAAGTTGGGGGCTTGTTACATGTATGCAAAGGTTGCTTCCTTTCATGGATGGCACAATCGAGCAGACTGTGTTTCGTGTTCCATCCAAGGGACTCAAGTCACCCATGGCAGCCGTCTAAACTACGCCTCGCAAACACAGAGTTTGCAAGGCATGCGACCGTGCTTGCGGCCAGATTCTGCATCCTCTGTTCCACTTGATATAACTTCTAAAACAATGTACCATTATTGGTAAAAGCCGAGCAGTCCATTTTCTGCACCGATGGCGGCGACAGTTCATAACCCTCGTAGATTTGTGTTTGCATGGTACACGGCCGCGCTTGCGGCTAGAGGTTTGTATTTTCAGTTGCATCGGTCGCGAACTCGATTTAAACCGATGAAGGCAACTCTCCGCGGTGATACGGTCTTGCGTTCGTACCCTCTGTCTATTCATTGTGGTTGAGTATGAAAAAGGGCGAAAGGGGTGGAAGGCAGTGATCTGATTGGCTAATCAAGCTAATATGTCAGCAAGTGCGTCAGCAAATATTCAAATATACTTAACGTACCATTTATAGTTATTACGGATACAATGTGCTATCAAGTTCGAAATTTCGTTGTTGTTTTCGGAGAAGAAGAAGATTCCGTGGATCGATTCCTCCGTTCGATCGACAATGACACCACCACCGGCAACAACCACCGGAGAGCCACTCGACAGTCATTATCTAAGCCAAAAGCAGCACCATCATGACCGGAACAGCAGCAACAGCAGCAGCACCAGCAGCTACCACTCACAATGGAGGAATGGGCTGCCAAAGTCAACAGAGGAACTCGCAACAGAAGAGAGCCTACCAACTGGCTGCCAACAACAACAGATCCAAGAGAGCCAGAGAAGAAGGACCGCAAACAACACTGGGAGGAGTG